ACATGCAGTCTCTGTCCATAGAGCATGTGGGAGCTCCACTAGCATCCCTTACCTCCCAGCACAGTACACAGCCCCTACTTGCTGTTGATTAACTGTCTCAGTAACCCACAGTCATCATAAAGTCCTCCAGTGTGCTGGGAGAGCCTGCACTGGCACTGGGCCACCCTGGTGACCCCTGGCTGGCTGGTGGAGGGTTGTCTGGAATCCATGGCTGGCTCCCACTGCTCAGATCCCCCTCAGGTGGAGCCAGGAGCCGGTATGCTGCGAGTCTGTTTCTGTAAAGCACTGCCCTCCAGTTCCACTTGATCAGGCTCATCCTGTACACCACATTCAACAGTCTTTTCAGCACAGTACAGGGTCCCCTCCACTGGCTCACTAGCTTTTGGGACAGCCCCTTCTTCCACCCAGGGCTGTATACCCACAGCAGCGTGCCAGGGGGAAAAGTTCTCTCTTTTGCTGTGAGCATCCTGGTCTGGTGAGGCTCCATGTTGGTCAGTGCCCCCACCTAGTCCTGCTGCAGGAGTGGGTGTCTCTGGTGGTGTCATTGTCCTTGACAATGGCCACACCAGCTCCACTTCCTTCTGCAGTTCCTCTCATACAAGCTAGTTTGTCTGCTCTTGGTGCACAATACCCAGGAATGCTGTGTAGGTGTGGATGAGCCCCTGGCTGGTCCTGGTGATGTGGGTGACCCTCTGGATAGTGCAGCGGGTGGGTGCAGCCTGTTCTTATCTGTAGTGTGGAGAGCCATGGTATCTGCACCCAGGCAGACCATAGTCCCAGGCACATCCACAACAGCCCCCCACTTTGTCAGCAGGTCAAGGCCAATGATGCAGGAATGATGAATGCTGGTCAGCTTGAACCAATGCTCAGTGGTGCACCAGGAAAAATCACTTTGAGTTGATAATCCTCTCTCCCCACATGTTCGAACTCTCACCTGTGTCTGTGGTGATGTGGCGCTTGGTTGTGTAGGGTAAAGTGGGCGGCAGTTTCTTTGGCCAACTAGGTGTTAACCTGCACTGCTATCTGCACTTGAATGAGGTACATCTCTGAAGGCTCATCCCCATTGTAGTGTGGCAGCTAGCTCTATACTGTGGTCTCCCAGCTGAATCACCATCTGGCTGAGAAGTACTCTGCTCACAGCCATGGTTGGGCTGGCAGGTCGGCTGCCATTGGATAAGGATAATCACCTTGGCCAAGTATGTTACACACAAAGAATTTGTTTCCAGTACAGAACCGAGGCAGCCATCTGCAGCGCCAACTCAACCAATGGCTCTAACCATCGGGGGCAACAAGTTTCAGGGTTCAGTGTCTTGCCCAAGGACACTTCAACACATGGACTGCAGGCACCAAAATTTGAACCTTCAACCTTCTGGTTGGGAGGTGACAGTGGGTGGTGACTGCTTTACCCACTGCACCACTGTCACCTCCCCAAAGTGACTTCTGCACAGAAATACACGTCCCTGAGTGGGCTCAAACCACCAACCTTTCGGTTAATAGCCAAACACGCTAACCGGTTGCGCCACAGAAACACCCTTCTCTTTTCTGGGTCTGGGCGAAGGTGTGGTGCTGGCGATCTGGTGTGTGTCCTCTGGCTCCATCAGCGACCTCATTACGGCAGGGTCATGTTGAGAGTGGGGTGACAGGCAATCCCCAGGTGGCTGCAGGGAAATCTGCTTTGGGTTTTGCTTGTGTCAGCTCTGGTGGCTCGTTCCCATTCCCACTTCTGACACCATTGTAACATAGGCTGAAAGAAGAAGAAGCTGGAGACAGAATTTGCCACAGGAACCCTCAGTCATGGTGTCTCAGCCTAGCTAGCCTGGGCTGGCCCCCTTTAACAGCCATATTCTGGCATATGTGGACATAATAGGACATGGGAGGATAACAGTAACCCTGGAACCCACCGTCTCTGTCAATGGGGTATGCGGGAGCACCACTAGTGCCCCCTACCCCCCAGCATGCTACAGTACTTTATATATCAATCTCTGGTCAGATGCTTTCAGACTTGCACATTCTTTTCAGTTACTGTTACAGCAATTTGTAAAGCTAGAGTGCCAGAGATGAAAAGAGGACCAAGGAGTAGGCTTATATTTCTGTTTATTATACTTATATAATGTGATGTGCTGTGAAATGCTAGATAAACACTAAAATGGGGATTATTTGATGTCACACTACCCATGGTAGAAAACATATCAGAAAGTATGAGTGTCGCAAATTACTGTCAGGCATGCAAAATATTTAGACACTAATTTTTGCTGTGGCTGACCCGGAGCCTTTTTGTGTGGAGTCTGTATGTTCTCCCTGTGCCTATATGGGTTCTCTCTCGGTACGCCAGCTTCCTCCCACAGTCCAAAGACATGCAGTGAGTGTGAGTATGTGTGGTTGTTTGTCTACATGTCAGCCTTGTGATAGACTGGCGACCTGTCCAGGGTGGACCACGCCTCTCACCCAACGTCAGCTGGGATTGGCTCCAGCCCCCCTGTGACCCTATTCAGGAATAAGCAGTATAGATAATAGATGTATGAATTTTTGCCGTATTTACCAACACTGATGATGTACAGTAAATGAGCACAGCTACAGCTGTGTTAATCTGAATCCACCTCCGCGTCAGATCTGCAGCCTCAAGGCTGTTGTTGGACCAAGAGGAAGTGTAAGACAAAGTCTACAGTTTACAGTGGCCAAACTTTAATATAGGTGAAGAAATCAACAAACACATTTTGAATTTTTAGACACCTGTCATTCAAATCATCTTTTATTTCATTCTGTAACCATGTTATAAAGGTGCTGATGTGGCTTTGGGTGACTGGACCTGATTCTCTTTTGTAAATCTTCAGTGCAATGATTGAGAAACTATGAGGTCAGATGTTGGTTATCCGCTGCTTACACACACACACCATCTCTCATGCCTGCTTTGTCTCAGCCTGTGATACTGGGCTCTTTGGGGTAGAAATTCCTGCCCACAGCTCTGTGGTGGAGGCCTTTAGTCGCTGTGTCTTATGACGGTCCTGATCAGAGACAACCTGGAATGCTTGGTGTGTATTGAAATCTGATCAAAGGTCGTGATAGATTTGTGTTTATAGGGAGAGGAAGCAGTTGTGTTAATGGTCAAGGGAAGAGGTTTAGCTCTTTGCTGGACACGTGATTCACAGCACGTGTACTTTTGTCCTGGCTTACACTCTGGACAATCCGCATCCACAGAACACAATGTCTACAGTTTTTATTGTAAACACTTCCCACAGAACTTCCTGTGTGGAAACCACATCAACCATACAGAACCCACCACAAACCCTCACAACACACAATTTAACGTGACTTTTTATCCATTACAGTATGACCTGGAGTCATGTTGTTGTAAATATATTAGGACAAGCAGCATAACTCTGTGTCCTGTGCATGCGCACCTTCAGTGGGCTCCCCCCTTCTTTTAATACAGCCATGCTCAACAAATGACTGAAACAGCAAGTAAATCCACTAACACAGATGATTCAATGTTAGTGTTTTCAGCCTCCTTTCATGTACAGTAAACTGCTGCAAATGACTTTGAACAGCATTTGAGCTTTTCTGACGATCACGAGAACACAGTGATGATGGACCTGCAGTCGATCCGCTCTCAGTCTTTCAAACTGATGTTAATGCTGGAAGAGGATAACTATTATAACATTAGCTGGTCATTTTTTGTCATTTCACATTCAATTACAGCATACTGTTGTGAAGTTAGCATGTTGCTTTCCCTCTGTGTGGCTTCATTCTTGCTCCCGAACAATAACTGTGGTTAAAAAGAGAGCAGACAACAAAAGGTGTTTCTTTTCGCTGAGACTGCTGAGAACACTCTGCTCATCAGTTATTCTAAGTGCTGAAGAGTGTGACATGTCATCAACTGATAGCAGACATTTTCAGTGAGTCAGTGCTCACTAATGCACTCATGTGTACATTGTATAGCTCCAACAGGGACTGAGACTTTAAAGTTTGGCTTAATTCGTCATTTCAAGTGATCCCAAGAGAAGAAGGTCATTTTCTAGTGGCTGGCAGTGATGTAATTCATGATGTAATGAAACCTCCTCCCTACAGCTGATTATTATTGTACACAGTTAGGACAGTTGTTGATGGAAAAAGACTGCATCATAATACTGTATGTTCTGTGTCATTCTGATTCTTTGAAGCAGTTTAAATGTGTTTAAATGAGTTGTAGAAATGTAATCTAGCGCAACAACGGACAGTCTGAATGAGACACATTGCAACAACAATTAAGAACACCTGGTAAATGTACAGTTAATATTTATGTGATTATTCAGAATCAGCTTTATTTGGCCAGGTGTGTTGGACACATGATTTATTCTGGTACAGTGGCTCTCAATGTGTATGTACAATGTTCTTCTGTAAGGCAACGAGCAGACAAATAAACAAGAAAAGACTAAGAACAAAAATTGCTAATAAGAAAAAGCAATGTGCATTAGGAAAATAAAAATAAAGAACTTATAATAATTAACAATTACTGTCAAGGATGGAGACTAGTTCATAAATGTACTGAGAGAGATTTGAGATATGGTAGCACCACTCAGCCTTGCTGAGTGGTCACTTGTTTTATTCCAACAAAAATATTTCCTACAGACCAAAAAGGGTTTTCTCCATAATCACCATTATAAAAGAGATGTCTGTAAAGCTGTCCACAAGATACAGTATCTAGAACTGCAGACTAGGTTGGTTTTATTTGTAAACCTTTTCTGTTATGGTTTGTGGTCTTGCTTCCTGTTTGGTGCTTTTATTTTGGTTAGATTTCCTGTCTTGTGTCACCTCACCTGCCCCAGCTTTACCCCAGGTCACAATTACTGTTCATTGCTTCCACCTGCTGCTTATTATCCTCTGGTCTCCTGTCCATATATTCTCCTCCTTTCGTTCAGCCTCTTGCTGGTTTGTTCTATTGCATTGCCTGCTCACTTTACCCCATTGGCTTGTGTATGCCCTCCACGCTTTTGTTGTATCCGTCTGGCTCGACTCAGCTGCACCCCATGTCTACACACTCACTCTCCCTCTGGACTGGCTTCCTTGCCTCAGCTCCCTCTCATGTGTTGGAACCCTGCTAGGTTTGTGATATTTCCCCTGCCTCATCTGAGTTTATTTTCTGTTTTATTTGCTGTTCGTTATTTCTTCCTGTCCTGGGTTTTTCCTTGTCTTCACATTTGTGTTAGTTTGATTGTTCCATGACCCTTTACTTTAGTTCTACTTTGGCTTGTCAGGTTGAGCTCCTGGTTCTTTGTTACCCCCGCTGCCTTCATATTAAATAAAACTGATCATCTCTGAACCGGAGTCTTGGGTTTGCATATTGGGTCCTACCCTGTTAGCAAGTTCCCTAACATTTTAAAGCTTTACAAACTAAAATCTCCATGAAATTTTTTGTAACTATGGTGATGGACTTACTGCTTACTTAAAAGTCTGAGCTCTGCCCTTGTGTTATGTATCACAATACTTTACCTGCCTAAATATTATAACCGTAATCTTCCCATGGCTATCAGTGTCATTCTATTCAGTTTTTTGCCCATGATCTGATGACCTACGTTTCTGGCTTGTAATTGAGAACAAACCAGCTTGATGACGCCGGTTACCCAGTCGGGTAAACCACAGAACACTGAACTGACTGTGATAAAGGCCTCTGCTCTACAACAATCCCAAACTTATTTAAAGGATGCGTAACAGGTCAGTTTCTATTGTATTACAATATATAAAAATCATGTCCATAAAATTTTTGGTTCTCCTGTTTTTCATTATAAAGTCAAACTATTAATGCAAATAAGACTCCATTTGTTCATCACCTCTCTGTTTAAACTCTTGAAGATTCCTGAATTTAGTCTCTGTCCATGAAAAGCACATGAGGGAGACATCGAACATCAAAATCTGGATCCACAGCTGCAGCTCTAGCATCTTTCTGCTGTTCTTCTTTCTAATAACAGAGAACATGAAACTGATGTTGCAAACCATTAATCATCTATCTTGTCACTCACCTCCAACAAAGTTATACTCATGATGGACCACTTGCCGGGACAGAGAGGACTCTTCCTGCCATTTCATCACCTACTAGCTGTTCAAATACAGTATGATTAAAAAGTAATCTGAATTTAGGTTTTTGTAAACATTTAATGAAGCAAGTCGCTGGAGTTCCATAATTCAGATTAACATATTGGCCTATGTAAACACTAATATTACAGGATGTCCTGTTACTAACTGACTGGCACACACGTACCAGTTGTCACTAGAAAAGCTGCTACCATTGACTTGCATGCATTTCCTGGTATACCCTAACCTTGTATATACACCAAGTCATCTCCCTAAAATTTAACTTGCTTTATGGGGACTAGTATCTGGTCCCCAGTTCCTACAGTTAGTGGGCTCCTAAGTATAGACAAACCAAGCTACACACAAACATATCCACATTCCCCTGCCTCACTCACTTGGTCCCCCGCCCTCTGTTTGCTCTGTTCCACACAAAAGGGGACGGCTTGTCTTGCAGCATTAAGAGAAACCTGACAGCCCTCACGGCTGTAGCACCAGGAGACCTCTGTGTGTGACTCGTCTGTTATGTTGCTCTGGATGTCACACTAGCTGTTGGTTTAGCCACGAGGTGCAGCCCCTCATGTGGATGGTTTCAGAATAAGAACAGCAGCACCATGGGATCAGTAGTGTGTAAGTGATGAACATACGACTTTGCAGTGTTACAGGTGTGTGTGTGTGTGTGTGTGTGTGTGTGTGTGTGTGTGTGTGCGATGACTAACTAGTGTAGTATAAACCTGAGGCAGCATCACATGATGCACCACTGTTTGCTCTGTACAGCTTTGCCATAGTCAATGATAGGAATGGATCCCTAACCATGGAGTAACTGGCGATGAGAAAATGGGTACGTACTCTAAAGTTGGGACCGTTTTAACTGGGGAGCTGTTAATTCATCTTAGTCTACCAGTTGGGTTTAGTGTAGACTTCAGTGTTTCACCAGATCGAGTAGCCACAGGAAAAATATGTTTTTGGTCCTTCTGTAGCTCAAAAGTAATAACTGTAAACTGCTGAATACAGGCTACAGAGTGAAACTGGAATTTAATCTTATTTGTGAATTTCTGTCATTGACATGCACTATAGTATATACTGTAGTGTTGACAGGGTCATAGATAATAGGTCATAATTTGTGGAGGTAGCATCAGGGATGTTGCCTGCACCACTGCATCTAGTGCACACTGCAGCATGCTGTAAGTATTAAAGAAAGGCTGTGCACTAGTCAGCTCTGTCACTTATTTGCTTATTACATTTTAAGTTTTTTTTTAAATTGAGCTTATCTACTTTTTATACTTTTCTTGACATGATTACCAGCAGTATGGACAAGTGATATATACATTTAATTTTTAAATACGAGTGTTGGCACCTCCATTCACTTACATTTTAGCTCAAATTTCCTGAGCTAATAACAGGAGCTTTAAGTTGTCTAGCGGGTGGCAAATGGTGTTGATTTTGGCACAGTAGTCTAAAGATCACTAAAGAAAACTCTATAATGTCATTAGATGCAAAAAATAAAACAAATGATGCTATGTTTATCATTTTAAATGTATCATAATGGTTACATTAGAGGTTGAATCTACTATCTAAAACTGTTTTAATATAAACTGAGCTTTATTACATTTGTATGAGTGCAGAATTTATTGCAGGACTCTTGGACTGGGCTTCAAGAAAAAATGGAGACAGAAGTTAAATCTATGAACAAAGATTTTGCTGGGTTGTGAAACAAGATTCCATGTCTTACAGGAGTGTGGTTTTACAGTTGCTTTATGCAAGGAACACTGAAAAAGGTCCAAACTCTGGACTGTCTGCCAGCATCGACTGCATTGCTGGAATCCAGCTGCACTGTCACTTAAAATAACATGTCAGCACTGGGACCGAATGGAGGAGAAATTAACCAGCTGAGTGTGGAGTCACTCCTACACAGCAGATTGGAGTTGTTTGTGGTAGTCACGGGGGCGGGCATACGCAAATGTACTTTAATAGGCTTTACCTTCTAATGCAGAGATTATGACGGAGAGACAGACGAGGGAAGCAGGGAGGTTGGAGGCACCTGGCTGGCTCCACAGGGACTTGTGCAAGAGCAGCTGCGGTAGCACTGCTGGAGGGGAGTGTCTGCATGTGTGTGTGTGTGTGTGTGTGTAAAAGACTTCAGAAGCTTCAAGGAAACATGGATAATTCCATGGTCTCTGCTGCAGAGCCAGTGGCTAGGCTTGGTGACATGGATAGGAATAGGAGATATACAGTAGGAGCAGATAGACATACCACGTGAGATGAGATGCAGTTATGACTGAGGATGGATGCTCCAGACAGCCTGTATTACCACAGTCTTCCATCTGGTTGTCCAAAGTGTGGTAAATATGGACCAGGTTATTCCACCGTACGGATCTCTACCACTGAGATGGAGTCTTACTACCACTTCATGGAGGTGTGTCAGGAGACTCAGTCAGCCATGCTAAGAAGTAGGTCTGTCCTTCTTCTGTCCTGTGTTCCATGCTTCCTTTGTGTACTGTTGTAGTGTCTAGAGTCTGCTTTTGTTTGAGACAATATAAGTTTGCACAGCTGTTGTACTCAGGAAAACAGCTGAAATACTCACCAGAAAACAAAGCTCTGACATAGCTGACAATTGTTAAGCAGTTCTCTGGGGCCCTGTCATGTGACTGAGCCATTGTTCCTGGGTGAATATTAACTTTACATGGTACAAGTATTTGTGGTTGGATCATACATGACAGTATAAATTACTGCTATTATCATAATGTGAAAAAATTATTCTGACCTAAGTAACAAAACAAAACCGGGGCCAGATGGAACAGCGATGAGCAGTGTTAGTTTATAATCCATCTGCACCACCAAAACACTAGATGACTGTGTCCTAGTCTACATGATCAGCTATTGTGGTAGACAGTAAAGGCCTGCTCACACCAGAAACCTGCACAGTAAAACTAAACTGCATGTTTTTGGAAAGTATTTGACTAAAGTATTTTACTTTTACTAAAAGCTGGGTGAGTCACTACTGTGCAGTTAAATCCACTTTAAATCCAGGTTTAAGTCACAAACATGGGGACCAGAGAATTACATTGAGAATTAACAGATGGATAAATTTGCTCTCAGGATGTTTCTGAGGTAATAATTTTCTAATTCTTAACAATCAGATGTGACAGAGCTTTTGTCACTCCAACAAGAGAATGGGCAGATATGACACATGGTCACTGAAAAATGACAACAAGCAACTAATTATTTAGGAAGTGTCACTGACATCCAGGCTTTGTTTGTATACATTGCTTATATACAAGGTTTATTGGGCACTAGCATT